TCGATAAGGGGGGTGGACCCGGACGAAGCTCCAATTCAATCTCCCTGACCCTTCCAGTTTTCAATCATGTCTTGCGGATGGGGTAGCGTTTGGGGTGGGACGTAATTTTTACCAGTCACAGGAATCTCACGGTGAACGCCACCTAATTTTCGCACAGTCCGTCCGCAGCGAACAAGCAGATTCTCTTTCATTTTGATCCACGACTTAATTTGTTTAATAAAACAATATAGCCACTGCTTGTTATATCTAGTCGAGGGCCTGTTATCTCGAAAAATCTCACACGCGTAACTCAAACTCTTTGCTCCGATATAAAGCTTTCTGTATATAGATTTTGTCCCTCCAATTAACCAACGCACGCATAAAGCAAACTGGGGAAGCCCAAAAAAAAATAGTTCCTGATCGATAACGACGAACCAAAAATATAAGGAACCTCGACCCTTGCCAAGAATTGTCGAAAAAAAAATAGTATAATTCGATCTTCTTATTGTAAATAAAAAGTAACGTGCCCTTAATCGAGTCCTGAATATCCTATATAGAAATTGAAAATATTACGTTGGCACGGCTAAAAGCCTATCGAGCCAGAGTATCTAGATGTAAAGTTGGTATTGGCCAGGGATTGGTAATACTGCCAATATACCAACGCTACCTGAGCAATCCCACGACGCGTATAGTGTCAATCTACTATAAATTGTATGTATCTTTCGCAGCGCTGTGCGCGACGCCTTTAGCGTTTGCTTTCAAAATCTCGTAAAGAATTAACGAGGGAAACGTATAAGCAAGATTACGAGAGTTTATTTTTCGCAATGTCATTTTCTCCTTTAAATGTAAACTTCACACTGTGAACTCCTGGGTATTCGATTAGATTTACTTCCTCTACGCGTATGCGTTCCGTATTTTCAAACGAGTGCAAAAGTGTGAAAAATGTATTCGAGCTTTGCTATACGCTAGCAAGTCGAGATATGCAAAATAAAAAGTTGTGTAAAATATTTTTAAGCGGATAAGAGTTTACAGCGATTTTATCAAAGAAAAACAAAGTGCACGGTTTTTTAATAAAAATCCAGAAGGGTGAAAAAATTGTTTTTATTTCAGGAAATACAATGGAAAAACGGATTTCCCTACTTCTCTGAACGTGCTCTAAGTTACACTCGACGTAGAGTAGTGCACGCAGACACGTAGTGGAACGAATTAAATTGCTGAGAATCAATGTTTCTCGATTTTCAAATAAAAGTCACTCCTGCTGAGTTCCATTAAAATGTCTTTCCTCGGCTGCCAATATTTTAGTTAAATTTTTGTTCGCACTAGTAACACGACAGTTCCATGTTTCGCGAGCTACCGAATGTCTTAACATAGAAACGTAAATTTGCCTGAATCCATCCTGTAATAAATAATGTATAAAAAGCGAATTGATGCTTCTTCACAATTTTCAATTTCATTTTACTTCAATGATAAGATTATATGAATGATAATAATTCCACCACTAAAATGGCGTATCTCGTACTAGCGTCATTAGTTTTACAAATTTGAAACCTTTTCGAATAGTACAAAAATTTTAATAAAACGGGTAATAAGTATAAAGCAATGCTACAATCCAAATTTCAATAAACCTGACATAGGTTTTCTTTTTAGAAATAGATAATAGAATTCAAATGAAATGTTCATTGTTCGGATAAAAGTTCAAACTTTAAATGTAAAAAAAAGTTGCAGTTATTGAAAATATATAAAGCTTCATTAGTGGTCAAGCTAACGATATCTCCACCGTCTCTATTATTCTACGACAAACGAATTCCCCGTTTGCCATGATGGCAGTTTTCGCGTATAGAAAATAAAATCGCAAAATGAAAAAAAGGAATTCGTGAAATTTTTAATAATGTCGAATCACTCAGTGAAGTCGTTAGAAAATTTTCCAGAACAAAGTAATCGGATCTCTACAGATAACCACGTACACGTGTGACAACCATAATAATGTTCCATATTAATTATTTCATACTTTGGAAGCATAAATTCGTGTATAATTCTATTTTAAAAAGCCCTAATCAAGTCGTGTCTCAATGAAGTTTCTTTTATGAAAATAATAATTTTCAGAATGACATTTTCTCGAAAATTTCAATTTTCCCCGCGTCATCTGGATTATGGATCTCAATCTATATTCCGTTAATAACGGATTCCTTAAAAAGTTATTACGAAATTAAATCTCGCGCTGCTTCTGACACGACAAATACAATTTGCAATTTCGGCACACTAACTTTCGGTACGACGCCGCTTCGCAAACTAGTTTAGCGAAAGCGAAATAAGCGAGATCATTCCCCTTTATGCGAGGAGCGACTTTCAAATGAATTATGGCACTCGCGTGAGAACTACAGGATCTTTGTCATCTGGCTATAATTTGGGTTACAATTTGACATTACCATTAACCCAAGTTCAGCTATACATTTCCCTTAACGTAGATGTGAATGGTTTCTCGTTCCTAACAAAAAAATAACATTTGCCAAATATTAACAAGAAATTCGCGAAACTATTAATTATGCTCGAATCACGGTAATTGTATGTTACGAGTGCCATGTTAAATAATAAATCCAGAGTGACGTATTGGGCTTTACCCTAATGATGAACAAAATTAGCAAAATTCGCAATTTCTATGGACATGTTATAATTTAAAAAAAAAGGAGACAAACTTAAACATCAAAATGATGAAAGAGAATTATTCGTTTGAGAGGATGATGAAAGAATATTTTTGTATGTAAAGTATTTGCGAATTTTTAATATCAATTCAACCGAACGGTTTACATATACAGATATACTGTCAAGCGTGACAGGTCGAAATTGCCCAAAAACTTAATTTCACGTAAAACTCAAGAATTCGGATAAAATCTCCGAAATCGCAAGCGACTCGGTTGTTGGAACGAAGGTCGCCCGCATTATATATCCACCCTGTATTACGTGAACGAGGGGAAGATCCCCAAGAGAAGTCCAACCAGTACTTTTTAGAGCCACAGAAAAGGCCAGGAAAAGAAAGACTTGTGCGTTGTGCTCTCGTTTACCGAGAAGAAAGTTTGTCCCTGGCCAGGGCGGATCAAACGGGTGAATAAGGGGCTCGACACGAACTTTTTCAGGGAATTCTTAATTTTTGTACCCAAGAGTGGTAATATATAAAGCTCCACTCGTACAAACCTTGTAGAAAATAAAAGCAAAATAACTTCCGTGTATTTGTGCGAATTTGTTTGACCTTTTTGCCGCGTTTATCACCTCTGGTAGCGTGTATGGTTCTTGGCGTGTGAAACCAAGTCCTAGAATTTTTGTATCGACGCCAGATTACCAAGGGTTGTCAACAAATAGCAAACTCTATATAACCGTTAAAACTGTTTAGTCCCTCCACGTGTATCTCAAGGTTGGAGTATTTCCAAAACCAGTTCAAACGTTTTCACCGACCGATAACGCACTGTGTTCTTGCAATATGTATAACTGGATTATCATTTTATAATAAAATCGTTGCGGATCAACGAAACGTGAACCTTACTTCGCCACCATAATGTTCCTATTCCCCTCTGAGGTTATGATCCTCGAATTAATATTTCAAACGTGGAGTTTTCATCGACTTTGAATATTCAATGCTGCGTCCAATCGACGAAGGGAAGCGCGAATCGATATCAACGTGTTATCGCTTTATCGCTACCACGTTCTCGACGGGAAAATTCGCCTAGCAAATATACCGACAAAGGTAAGAAACGAAATTCCATACTAGACTGTAAATTCGCTCCGCGAAAATTTCATCCTGCCTTGCAACGCAATTCAATGTACTTTACGTAGCTGCTAAAGTCGACGGATTTCGAATAGTTCGCAGTTTTCCGTTAGGTCAATATTTCCTGTCGCAGCTAAACGACATTTTTTGGATCTTTACATTCGTCGATCCGTGGGTACTAAGAATGTGCATATTTTTTGGATCAATTATTAAACGACGCTCACGGCGAATTAGAGACAAAGAGACACTAAAAATTCCGGCAGTTTAAGGGAAAATATAGTCACTAATTTCTCAACTCTGAAGATTCTACAAAAAGAAAGTGTCTAGTTCACATTTATAGTATTGTCGTCGACGAACAATAATCGTATATGCATTCAATTAAAGTAATGACTGCTGTACTATATATTTGGAATACAGCGCAGAAAGTATTAAACCGCAGTTTATCGCGACAATAAAAGATAGGAGTCTGGCATTAAAAAAAAAAAAGAAAAAAAAATTGACGGTCGTGCACTCCACTCGCGAGTGGTACTGGGCTGTTATATAGTACATTTAATCAAGACTCGAGAGTGCGACAGGAACGTCACAAAGTTCATAATCCACATAGTGCGACTATGTGTCAACCCTCATAGCGAGAGCGTTTGCGCATGAACGCGACAAAAAAACAATTGGAAATCAAAATTCTCATAAATCTAATCGCAGCGAAAGAAGAAAATAAGCATGTATCCGTACCATCATATATCTTACGTACGTAAGGTCAGATAAAAAATTTTTAAACAACGAAATTCCAATACATACCTAGTAGTGACTCAAACAAAATCAAAATCCTAGAAAATCCAATAATTCAATTGCTGACCCAATTTCATAATTTTACACGAACGATTAAAATTTAAAGGTTCACGCCGACTCGGAACGATTAGCACAGCTCGGTCTGTGATTACGAGGGTGCCAGATGAGTGACGAGTACGTAATCCCACGTATTAAAAAAGATCACGAAAACGTAATCCTGACTGAGAAATTCAAGCACCGAAAAATCTTGACGTATCGAAGCACAGAAGAAGGTCCCTGAAGAAGTCCTCTCACAGCGACTTGCACTCGCGCTCGAATTTCTCATTTTATTTTGCCAACTCACGGCCACCGATAAAACAATACAAAATCCCGAAATAATGAGACGAGAAATCCCTGGCCGCGAGCAAGCAACAGGATCCCATTAGAATTGACGTAGTTAGGGGGACAAAAACAACAGAAAACGATTAGACTGACTCACCGCGTTTGGAGGCGTGAAAACTGTCCTGCGGTGATATTTGCTCAATCTGGGCGCTGAGACGGGATTGGGGTAGAATCGCCCTGTTTGCGTTGATCTTTTCCACAGCATAGCGAAAAGCCACCTCCTGTTTGTCGTCGGTCGGATGAAACAGACCTCCTGGGAAATCATATATTTCTATTAGATTACATACTTTAATAGACGTATAAGGTGTATCAATACATGTTTTTCTTTTCGTATCCTGATATCGTCATCGATAAGTGATTCAGAATGATCGGACGGACGAATGGAGTATGGTGATCTGTTCGTGGTCGATTATACAATGGTTTTCAGAAATGGATCATACGTCGTCAGGAAAATAATAGAGTGTAGAGGAGAAGCAAAGTGTGTAAGAGCTTTTTACAATTTTGTATCTATCTATCTCTTTGTATCTGTACAAGTGGATAAATGGACGTGGAGGATGGGCTGAGACGTTTCCTCGGTGCTCTCGTTAAATTAACGGAGATTAATGAGTTTGGATGGTATAGCAGTGTATATACGTATATGATCTTCCGGTACTATTAGATTTGTCAAGTTTTCTTTTGCCTGGCTTTACGCGATTCACGGCAGCCAGAATGTACTGTATGTTGTTACTGTGAGATCGAATACGACACCACTTAGTTAACCATGATGGAGTAAACAACAACAATTTTTTGTATCGTCTCTACAAATAAAATAATCAAATAGAATTTCTACAATGTACTCCGGGAATTTGGTAAATCGTATAAAAGAAAACGTGCAAAAGTTGGCTGCCCAACGGGGCACTTTAAATATGACAAGAAATTCAATTATCACTGATATTACAATTTTACCTTACTTTCTGTACGTTTAAGATCGTGAACTTGAAATGTCGAACGGTATACAGGGATACAATTCCAATTTACATAGCGGGAAAATTCTAATTTTGTCAAATTTCATAAATGCATTATACATCGTGTATGAGGCATATGGATACAGTTGGATTTACTGAAACATCCATTTTTTTCGTTTACGCCATTAAGACGATAGCTAAAAACACACTGACGCTCATATTCACCTGTCAACGTCAAAAACTTCACTAACAGGCAGTATCCGTTCTCGCATCCCAAAAGGGACCTAAATACTCGTATGAGTTTTTCTAAACCAGTATGTAGTTCACGGCTGTCAACGACACGAGCTTTTACGCACCCCTGCTTCTACCCTTGCATGGATAAATGTTCACCACGGTGCACGTAAGCTTCAACGCGAGTTGCAATACAATTGTCTTTCAGCAAAGGTGTTAAAGTACACACTGAAAACTGAAGGGGCTTACATCCTTTGCCATGTCAACAAAAGAAACTTAGAAATGTCCGTTGGTTCTTTGAAAACTGGGAACGTATCTAAAAACATACATAGTACAATCTAAATAAATCTATGTATCTTTACTCGTAACTTTACAGTTGAATAAGAGAAATGAACTGCATTCTGTCTCGTTGGATTCTCTTAAAAAAGATTCCATGAAACTACTGAACTCTGCACTGTTGTGAAATTTTTTCGTAATTTTATAGCAGACTGATTTTGTGACTTTAATGAACGTCTAAAAAAATGTATGCTTTCAAAATTATTTGCAATCAATTAAGGTGACCCCGTGTCACGTCAGTGGCATTCGCCACCTGGAATGCCACCTTTATTTCTCAGACAAGGTGCCACAACGAAGATATATACAGTTCGCGGGTTTCGTCTACACGGCTTTAAATTTCCTACACTTGTATCCGGCTGGGCAGGAAAATTCATCCCATAAATTGAGTTTAACCTCATATTCGTCATAGGGCAACTCGCCGAGCAGCTGCGCCATCCGGGGCTTAAGATTTATAGAAATTCTCTCACAGATTTATGCGACTCGTTAGCGATCGTTGCCACCTCATTTTCGCGATCTATATTATACTTTTGTGACGACCATGAAGAATCAGTACAGAGTTCTCAATATCTCATTCATTTTAACGAGGAATATCTTAACAAGAAGTATCTCGACGTTTTCAATTGAACGCGATGATTACTGGAAAGGAATAACGAGTTTACGTAAATTTCATAAATATATCGGTATATCCATTTTCTGGGAATGTTCATCAAATAAATATTCTCAATATAGAATAAGAATCGATATAACGATACAAAATATCTGGAATGTACAAATTTCTAGAAAATTTTCCTATTCATAAAGTTTACCTTTGCCGTAAATCATTTAATGCATCAAATGATATTCGTATTGCTTATTGAATATATATTTTTATATATTATATTTTTATAATTCTATAATTTATAATGTAATGTAACGCTCGCGTTTCATTCGATTCTGACTGTTGGCATCTCTGATAGAGGTCACTTGGAACCAATAAAATTGCATCGATCGATTAAAGCGAGACGTAGTAAAAACGTGGAATCGCCACGGCGCCACTGGGTTTCGTGGGAAATTGCTAGTGTTTTTCTATAACACAACAGAATTAATAGGATCTGAATATTCATCGATGGCCAATGAATTATTTCGAGCTCGACGTGCACGGTGGCCAGAAAAACAGAAGAAAAAGTTCAATTCCATATTTCAACGTCGATACATTGACAGCGCAATTAACGTCTCAATCAAATAATAGCTCGCGAGATTTTAACGACTCATCGAAGCATTTAAAATATTTATTAACATCGAGCTTGGAATGTCGAACGTTATTTTCATTAAAAGTCTTTTACTACGTCTAAGATTCCATTCGACCTCATAAATTAATTAGTACATGCACCGTATGGAATAATTTTAATTTTTGCAATTTTCACGAAAAAAAAATTGATTTTTCCAATTTTTTAGTTACTCGCTCGATTATGTTACACGACTCTTAAGGTTCACGATAAATCTTTAACCTCCCAAACTTTCACCGGCGACCTCTCTGCAGCACCGTGCCGACCGACACCCGATGTTTTCTACTAGTTTCAGGGTCAAACCAAGTCTGGTCAAAAGTCAGAAAACGTGACCAACTTTTCAACGATAGATCTCTCTCATCTACGTTGACTGCGGAAATTCTCGTTTTAGAGTAACGTGAATTTCCCTCACGCGGACCATTCGGCGAACGTCGAGAACATTCGTTACGCAATGAAATTGATATTGTGTTCTCTGCACTATCGAGTACGTAAAACTTCTGGCTCTCTTGTCCGCGCTACGCAACTGCATTAAATTGTTGCAAATTAAAAAAAAAAAAAAGCATATTGCTCATCGCTGACAAAGTTTATTGAAACAATAAATATTCGGCGACCTCCGGATATAGCAAAAATATCGCAGCGATGCAATGAGATTTCCAATGAATTTTGCATGAGCATATATTTCCTCTCGGTCCCTCGATCGCCCCCTCTAATTTCTCAGTCCCTCCGTTTTTCATTTGTTTCAATTCCTCCTGCACCCTTCGACTTCGTCATTCAAAGTTCTGAATTCCCAATCTTCCATAGCCATAATTTTATTTCGGTCGAAAAATCCTACCCCGGCATGCACAACATTGCAATAAGCTCGAAGTATTATATTCAAAATTATTGAACTCTATCGACAAGCTAATAACATTATACCGCGTTTACCCAGAATTAATGATTTCATTATGAAACATTTTCATAATTTCCATAACAACGCAATCGAATAATTTTCACTTCGAGAAAACGATTTCCAATTTCAATCTTAATTTAATTAATACAACCATCAGTTAACTCGCAAATTAAACATTCGACGGAATAAAGTGTTTGACAACGACAATAACCGATACGATTAGCGAATCTCTTCGTATCTTTACTTATCCCATAAATTCAAGGTTATCGTAAAGGGCTTTACGATGCAACGGATTTAAGGGTCCTTACTTCTATATACACCCAAGGGTGAATTTTAAGACGTACATATATCTCTTAGAGAATCCGTCGGCAAAATCGTCCATTAACACACTCCCTGCCAGTAGAGTTAGGTATGAGCCATCTAAGGAGAAAATTTACTTTCCGGTTTTACACCGGCTCCGATCGGTTCCGGTAGCAGCGATAGCGTAGAAATCTACAGCAATTCTAACCTGGCTATCTTGGCATAACTGCCGAGTAATTAACGATCAATTTCCCAGGATCGCGTTATATTCACCGGTACCGAATAATCCATCTATATAACCGTCTCGTAATACGAAGTTACCCGCCGCCTATTAGAGACTGTAATGAAACCCGAATTGCATAACAAGTTATACGAAGGATCAATTTAACGACGAACGGTCGAGTATCGCACGAATTTTCAAGCTCGACATTTAACAAGCTAGACGCCAGTTTTGTGAGTTTTTCCAAAATTTATCGTTTGCTAAGCTTTCCTACTGGACCCAATCTAAACAGTATAGTCTCTAGTACATCTCTACTGAGTCCCATGGTTTGGAACCTCACAGTTTTTTTTAAATTCAAGCACAATGTTTTCAAAGCGTTTCTCGACGTGCCTCGGGATAAACTACATTACAAACCCGTTATAGCTACGATGACACTATAATTAACGATAAATTGAACCGACCCAAACGCGCGTTATCGTACATCGGAAAACGGTAATGGACGCTCGATTACCTTTGGGCAATCTCCCAAGCGCGAGCCGTGTCTTTCTCGTTCAAAGCCCATGCAGTCCCTCGCGTAATAATCGATCCTTCCGCAATCTCTCCGAGAATTGTCTACAGCCGTGAACGTCACACGCTGCGGTAAAGAAGCGTTAACGCGAGAGGTTATAGCTCATATACCCATCGATTCGATGATCTCGAGTGCAATTGCACCCTTTTTCTCCGAGAGAAAAGCAATCCAAGGACATAATCAATAATTCCTAAGGTATCAGGTCCAATGGTCGATTCGTATTATGTGTAAAGTTAGATATACAAACAATGTATTGAGGTTTTCGTGATTGTTGCCAGGCCGAAATAAAATTGCACATTATGGTATAGCCTGGATAAAAGAAAAACAGATGTCCTGTATCAGAAATACGAAGGCTGAAGTTTACCTATTCTAATTATATCAGGAAGAGCAGCAGCGTGGGCGGCGAGGAGCGCCAGCAGGAGGCACCTCGCAGCCATCTCCGGTTGCGGTCCAGCCCAGTACCACCTCCTAGTCCCAGCGAAGGGGGCCTATGGTTCTGAAAAACAAAGTGAAAAAATGATTTATTATAACGTCAATATAGACGGGTAGACAGGTAGGTATAGGTAATTATTTGACATCCTTTATAAACAAAATCTGAAGGATTTGCGAGTAAAATGTATATGCACTGAATCCACCCCGAAATAGGGATTCGACGTTATTGTCATCACGTACTAGAGTCTCGTCGTTGAAATTTATATTTGATCCGCTCCTCTCTTTTCATCTTGTTTCAAAATTCTGTATACCTCAGGGCAGAATGAACAATAACCGAGTTTTCCGCGGAACGCATAATACTCCCTAAGAATTTGAATGTACAGATTTCGGTTGGCAATGGTTGTTCATGGGAAAATTTACCTCCGGGGCTTAAAAACATATCCCGACCACCATCCGAACCGAATGAATTTTTAAATCAACACAAACAGAGCGGAATTATTTTAAACGTACAATAAATTTGTATTTATTACAACGTTCACGAGTTTAATAATTGTCAAATTTCTCATTGCGAAATTAATCCTACATTTGAAAAAGTAATATCGTTGAGAATCGTTTTGAGTACCTATATAAGCACCGTTCTGAGCGATAATCCTTACAATGCTTAAAATGAGAAATACGCTCAAACGACATCTGGCATGTACTTCATGTAATTCGAAAATGCCTGATACGAGAAAAATATGAAAATAAATTACATAACGACACGACAACGAAAAATAATCGTACAAAGTATTCCAGGGATTTTGATTTACCGGTGGTGACGTTGAACCTTCTCCCCCATGCTAAACCGCCATGTACCAGAATAGATACCCGAGCAAACAAGATTTCCTTTCCAAGTGTTTATCTGGGAAGTATAAGAGATACGAGGATCCTCCCAGACCGACGTTTCGAACGAGCACAGATCTGAGACCTGACTGTGAAATGATGCTGTGGGTCGAGACATCGCCGAGGGAAAATCGTTTTCCGTTTCAACGACTATAATCAGCCATTCTATCAACCCTTCGTCGAAGGGTATCGAAGGCAGCTCTGACTGTGCAGCCACTCATTGGCACAATTCTCGCCCTTCTAATGGAATTCTAAGTCGCCTCGTGAACCCTTGAAAAAAACCTCGAAATAAATTCTATAATTGAATATGCATATCCTTCGGCTTGGATTTAAAATGTACTGAGGCTACACGAAAAATACTAAAGAGGATGAAGTGATGTTGTTTTTTTTAAATCTCATAATCAATGGGGATGAATAACAGTGATCGTTCGTAGAGAGAAACTCGATATCTTATAGAGTTATAAGGTATAAGGGTGTAAGAGAAATCACCCCCAGAACGAGGAAAGGTGGACCGGCGTTGGCGCCGTCCGGAAATGTGGCCTGAATTTTAATGAATCTCCTTTGCCTTTGTGCGGCTAAGCTCTTCCTAGATTCCCTTTGGGAGCAGGAGACCGTAAAATTTTTATGAAAATACGGATTATTGGTCCATTTCTGCCGATATGAAGAGTAACGACAGCCCTAACGATTTCGACGAGAGAATTTTTAAGGTATTCTCCTTAATGGATCTTAGACAAAATTGAAGATGCTCATATGGAGCATTGGCGTAGGTACATCCGATTTATCCTGTTACCGTTCACGATCGATATTCCCTATAGGAATAACGTCTAAATTCAATCTCAGTCGACTGGAGTAACTTTTAAAATATTTTCATCACCTTTATCCATCTTTATCTTTCTAATCTATAGTTCCTCCCCCCCCCCC